TTCAGACATTGGCTCCAAACACAGATGTTCACTCCTGACAATTAAAGGAAGGGTAAAAGGTCGCAGGGACCGAGATCAGCTTGATCCTTCTTTAGATTATTGGCCCCATTGTCTTGAATGGTCTTCATCTTTGAAGAAGAAAAGAATATTTCAATTGAACATAAAAGTGAACACATGATTCGGGGGCTCGTTTCCCTGGGAGGGCTCATGCCTGTGGCCCCCTCTTCTGCCTCCAAACATAGCAAAAGGAAAAGCATGTGAAACAACCTACTTTTTAAAAGCCTTGCTTTTGCCTCAATCTTGATAGTTCCCCATGTTTAGGAATCCCTGGCCAGAAGAATTCTATACTGAAAGCAAGAAAAGCAAAGAGTCTTTAAACCTAAGCAATGAGAAAAACAGCAACAACAAAAATTCCTTCTGCTTGACACATGGGTCTCTCATGGCAAAGAAAATTCACATTGGCAAACACTACTTTGTTGTGGTTGAGTTTTATTTAGTCCTGATATTGGGGAGTTCCCATATTGCCATATTATGTGTATCAGTGTGGTAAGTAGCCCTAACTACAGTCCCCCAAAAGGGCCTTTCACCTAGTCACTTGGCAAATCATGTATCGGAGAGAATAACATTTGCCAAAAATTCTTCCCAAGAGTGATGCTTTAATCTCAAAAGTTAGTACTGGCATTTTTTGTATGTTTTATTATTTGTTTGGCGAGGACTAGCTAATGGAGCACTGAGCCTTGATTTGGTTTTATACTTGTTTTCGTTGCATTGCCTAGCACTTTCTCAGTCATTTTGTACAACACCTACCTGACCCTTTTCAAACTTAGAACAAGCAGCTGACTGTTTATAAGTAAAATCCAACGCTGTGTAGAAACTGTCTAAAGATCGGATTTCCTAAGTCCGAGAAACTCGAATTTCGAGTCGCACTCTCTTTGCCCAAGTAACCACCACCAGCCTTCCGCGCAATCAGGTGCTTCCGAGCTGCAGGGCATCTGATTGAGAGCCCTGACGCTGAATTTCCAGTGTTCAGGGCCTTATGGTTCACATGGCAAGTGCTAGGGCTCAGTGACTGGACTCGATCCTCCACCCTGTTCTAGGCAGTAGACCTGTCTGGTTTGGGGAGTTTCCACACTAGAGAAGACTTGCATGATTTGCATGTTCAGTCCCAGTCTCAGAGAAGCTTCCCTTTCCACGTCTCTGTAGCCCAGTAGTCATGTGCCAGCTTTTCTCCAGTCATTTGATAAATGTCTGCACAGCTCGGGACATGTGGCTATTACAGGGAACAAACTGTGACACTCCTGCCCACCCCAAATTCTACGCCTATACGCCGTGGTCATGCCCTCCTCCCAGTTAGGCAAATGGTTGGGTAAGCAAGCGTTGGCTAATGACATCTGACAGCCACATCCTTGAAACGTTTGCTAATATCTCTGCGAACAGGCACGTTCGGGACGTTAACTGGTCGAGTTACAGATGACTGCCAGAGTTGCACTCCGTGCAGCCTGGGCAAGTCACGCTTTGTTAAGTCCATTGGCCATTATGCTGATTTAAAAAAAATTTAAGAGCATTTTTATGCAGAGGACTCTCTCGACAGCAGGTGTGACCCCTATTTGGGCCCTGGACGCCTCTCGCCTGAGTCAGCTCCAGAAGGCTGCAGCCCTTCGGAGAGAGAAGGAAAAGAGAAGAGCAGGGTGAGCAGGAACTAATAGGTTTACGAGCAAGTGGGCGAAAAATCACTACCTGACCTTGTTAGCTGTGACCAGCGTGGAACGTGTTGAACTTGTGTGACAAAACTGCTTCCTCAATCTGGGCACACGCAGCTTACATAAATAAATAAATAAATAAATAAATAAATAAATAAATAAACGCTTCCCACGCTGCAGCCCCTTCATACCCCAGTGCCCTGATCCCGAGGGCGCGCCACAAACTCTAGCAGGCGAGCTGCGAGCCCTGGCCAGTCCCTGCGACTGGGGTTACGCCCGAAGGCGCCACGGCGCGTGCGCCTGCGTGGGCATCCGCGCGTGCGCGCTTGTTGACACCCTGCTTGGCAACCCGGAGAGCGTGCCTAGACGCGGGCCCCGAGCGCCGTGTGCGTCGGGTCGACGCAGGCTGGCGCGGCGCACGCGCGATTCGTTGGCCCGCGGTCCCTGTGCCCAGAGCGTGTGTTATTACCCAGTCTCCCAACTGGTGTCGGCGATTGAGCTCTGGAAACCTGAAGGAAAGGCAGTGGGAGTGCGCCAGCATGTGACCCAGGGGAGGGGCATGGCGAGACCCAAGCCTGAAAAGTAGACCCGGGGAGATGTTTGACCGCATCCTGAGGAAGCCCATGGGGTTATTTATGAGGCCTGATTTAAAGTAGTGGCTGCCAGGAAAGTGAAAAAGAGCTCACCTCAAGCTATGAGAGGGGCTACAGTCACAAGAATGCTGTTTATGACTATATAAATCACCGTGGAGCGTGTGATGGGAAATATGGAGACTGCGAGTTTAGGATAGAAACAAGGAAACAAAGTCAAGAAGGAAAAATGAGTTTGCGCCCTCTCTTTTCTATCCACTCCCTCCGACCGTGCGCAGTTGCTCCCTCCCCTAGGAGGCCGCGATCCCGGCGGGGAGGAACGGGAGGAGAGCGCACTCCCCCGTCGTGGGTAGGGTCTGCCCGAGTCTTCCCCAAGTTTACACGAGGATCGTTAGAGAGCCAGGGAATACATGTAAATAAACAACTTGGAAGATATATGGGAAGGAGTTCAATTTTATAGGACTGTATTTATAGAGCAAGCGCTGGCTCACTTATAAATAGATTAATGGGAAGCTAAAATTAATGGACTTGCGAGCTGCACGTTTAATTTCTGAGGCTTCAACATGACAGACAACCGCCCTCAAAGTCCAAGCGTGGAAAGCAGCTTGCCTCGGGAAACCGTGAGCGCCCTCAGGAAAGGGACACTTCCCACCGGGCCAACAACTCTCAGTTGGCCCCTAACTTCGGCGCCCGGAGTCCCTGGGGAGGGACCCTACGGAACTGTTATTTGCAAATGAAGAAAAGGAATGTGTCTTCATAAAAAAATAATCGGGTCTTCCTTTCAGCACTATTTTTAATCAAGCCCTTAACCCGCTAACACGGGCCGGCGGGTACGCACCCGTCTGGGTCACCGTAAGCCGCCTACCGGATCTTGCGGACTCTTGGCAGTCAGGGACCGCTGCAGCCCTCTTCCAGAGTCACCCAGGGTCCCCGCGCTGGGCTGGTCAACGACCTAGAGGTTCTAGCTACTGCTCTTTCCTTACTCCCTCTACAGCCTCCTAACACCATAACAAAGGAGCCGGGGGGCTGTGACACGCAGCCCAGGACTGTCCAGCTTCTAACCCCTTTTCTTTCCCTATTTGGTTCATCTTGCCTGGTCTTTACTCCAGTTATTTTCAGGCTCCTCAAAATCTTGGGTTTTACTTGCTAAAGGTGATTGTTTCAGACCCTCTCTTTACCAAGTGGTGGTGGTGGGTAGGAGTAGCCTGGAGCTTACCTGTGGGATAATAGATTGCAGGTCGGTTTATCAAGGGCTCGAGCTAACCTTGGGCAGGAAAAATTGCCATAGGATATGGAAATTACACACCACCTGCTTTATATAATCCCAGTGGTAATCAACCCCCATCCTCTATAAAGCAAATGAAAAGGACACTCAATGTAACAATTCAACCAGAGACTAAGATATATCTGTTTTTTTCTAGATAAATGTATGTCCTCATAAGCACACATCCCTTGGTTTTCTCTGCTTCCTTGTTTCCTTTTATTCTCCCCCCTTTTTTTTTCTTTTCTTTCATTCCACTATTTATAGTTCTAGCCATGATCTCCCCGCTTTTAATTAATAGGACACAAAGGGGGAAATGTCACATAAAGCAGATTCCATTGTTCCTTCTGCCTTTCCCTATAGGGAAGTCCAGTTGAAAAAGATTCACGTTTAAAAACAGAAAATTGGTATGGGAGGAATATTAACTGAAAACAAACTGTATGCTAAGCACTCATATGTAAATCTGGGATCATCGCGATTTAACATTTCCAATTCTCCTTGAACTCATATACAGGTTGCTGTTTCTGCTTTTTATAATTAAACTATAGGCAATATTGATGAAGTAAAGGATGTTAGGAGGTCCATATTTGTTTTTACAGATAAAGACCTTGAGGCGCAAAAAGGAACAGTGACTCATCCAAACTGTATAACATTGTGGATGATTTTGCTTTCCTGGCCTCAAGGAAGACACCTAAGCCTTGGAATAAAATACAGATTGAGATGATGTTTGATCACCGCAGCCCATTAGGGCCCGGCTGAAGCCTATTAACCCAGGTGTGAAAAGCTCTGGCTTCTCTAGGCAGCCTCTGAGCCAAAGGTAGGAGCCCCCCAACTTCCTAAGACGTGTACACTTTTTTTACTTTTCTCGGTTAAGGGAGCTTTTTCCTCCTTTGTTTACGGAGGGTCTTGCACTGCTAATGAGGTCAGGGTCGGGTTCAGTCTTGAAATGGGGGTTAACTCCTTCATATCCCAAGTTGAGGGGTGCAGGAGCCCACACCCAGCCGTGAAGACTTCTCCTGCACCGTGCACCATCTCCTTAGAACACGATGCCAGAATGCCAACCCATGAACAGTGGGAAGGGAGCATCATCTTTGACAGCGACCCCGAGTCCTCTAGTCACCTGGGAAGTAAATTTGACTCCTCGATTTGTAAAGGGCAAAATAAACCAAAAGATTCAGTTAACATTAGCTTTTATTGCAAATCTGGTTAGAAATAGGAGAGAAGAATGTAAATTTGGAATTTAAAAAATAAAAAACAGTTCCTAGTGAAAAAAGGGTGTTCATTTTTCTGAGAAGCAAAATTTATTGTATTTCTGTTGTAATGAAAACGCTGTGGGTGCTTCAATGAGAGGAGACAAAAAGAAAAAATCTTCTTGTTATACTTTTCCTCTGTCTGTAGAATTAAAAACATTGTCCACATTTAAGAAACTGAAGATGAAAACACAACAAAAACACAACAATCTTTTTATTTATGTAAATCAGATTAACACTGGACAATAAACCAATTTCTACCCATTACCATAACAGCTTGTTTATAAAGAACAGAAAAATTCAGATAGGATTCTATCTAGGGTCAAGCGGTTTTTAACCATCCATTCACAGAGGTATAGATTCACAGATAAATAATCCCAAACTACTTGCTCGCCATATTTACACATTCCCATTAAATTAAGCATAAATAAATATATACAAACTTAACATGAATACCCTCTAGAGCTCTTCTCGTGAAGAGTCAATAGATTGATATTTCTTGATTGTGTGGCAAAAACAATGTTAGAGAATTAGAGACCAACTCAAAAGAGGAGTCGATTTTGGCATTTAAAGAAGGATAGTGTTCATTCCGTTAAAAAAAAAATCGATACTTTTTTTTTTTAAGCCAGTAATTTCACATACATTGTCAAAGGTGGGGAAACGCTGTTTGGGCTCTTGAGGCAACATCAGATGGTTTAAGGTTATTTCCTTTCCACATAATGTATTACAAGTACAGGATATCAGATGTGATGACAAATTCTTTATAAACACTCTTAACTAGTAATGCATTGTAGCAGAGGAACAGTGTGTAGATAAGGTCGGGGTTTCGAGTTTTCCATTCGACCAAAGATTTCATAGGATATGAAATAATTGCTTGAGAGAAAGTGGCTTCCTTGGCCAAAGAAAACAAAGCAGCCAGGTCTTTGAAAGCCTCTTCGGTTCTTTAAGTGGGGGTGGAGGAAGCTATGGGTGTGGAGGCCAGAAAGAAGGAAAGAAAATGCAAGGTAATTGGGGGTGTAGGAGTGAAGGTGGTGGAGAAAGGGGGGAGAAAGTTACCTTCTCACTCTCGGGGAGAAGTTAAAGATCTTTTTAGATGATGGAATCCTCACCCAAACAGGACATTTCTTGCTCCCTAGAGACCCACAATACGTGCAGGAGGCGGCAGGATTGGGCAGAGAATGTTCTGGAGATATTTGGAACCTTCAAAAGAACTTGCGAAGTGGAAAGTGTGAAGGTAGCACTGCCACATCCTGACTCCTCCTGTCTTTCGCTATTTTGTTTTGGGACCGAGCGTTTAGGAGTGGGCACTCGGCAGGGACCAAATGTCTGAAGAGTGAAGGGGTCAGAGGGAGAGCTGCAACTCACCTGTTTGGTTTGAAAACAAAGTTCAAAGAGGCTTGCCTTAAACGTTTCCCTTGACTTAAAAGGCAAACTCTTGCGTTAATCCTACTGTTTATTGATTTATAGGCCCAAGGAAACCAAATATTTTAATAACTCAATTATCAGATAAATGTAGCGGGCCTAGCTAAGGAAAGCGAGGGGACGGGGGTCCTACATGAAAGGAGAAGTGAGGGAGGGAGAAGGGGTAGTGGGCTCACTCCACAAAACGGGGTCGGGGGCGCAAAAGGTTCTATCTCGCTGGAGCAAGGAGGAACACACAAATGAGGGCGCCTGGCAATGAAGGTAGCCTGCCTTGCCAAGTAAAACAATTCCCATCCCATCTCCCCGCTTTAGGATTGTGACGGTGGGGTGTTTCCGTACTGGCTGAGGTGGAGGAGGGGAAGCTTCGGATTCCTTGGATATTTCTAGGCCACTCTCCCTCCAGGAGCAGGCGCCCGGGGAGGCCGCTGGCAGCGCAGGGAGCCCTCCCCACCTGCAGCCCACCGGGCGCCGCCCCTTTACCTACTGGTGAATGGGGCTTTCTCGGTCGCCTTAGCCCTTAGGGTGAGACCGAGAGCCGGAAGGGCCCGCGCAGTCGGCAGCCCCTCCAGCGGCTGATTCTATGTCCTCAACACGACTGGGCGCCTGTGGCCCACAGGCTCTCAGGACCTGCACAGTAAGAGCAAGGCGCGTCCATCGCGTCTCTCGCACGTCACACGCGTGGGGCGCGTTGCCCTGCAAGGAAAGGAGACGATCGTTTTCAGTGTGGTCTCTCCTGGCCTTGTGCAATCAGAACACATCTAATGCGATCGGCCAGGCTCTAGGACGAAGGCACAGGCCTGTGGACTGGGAAAAGAGAGTGACTACACTCTCCATAACGTCTGATTCTTGGCCATTGTATTCCTCTCAACAGTTCTAGGGCTGGGCCCTGAAGATCAGAGGTGCCAAGCAAAGCTAGGGGTTGGAGAGGGGATGCAGCGTGGCCCAAACAGTTGCTTGGGCCCTTTTGGTGACCTGAGACCAGTTTCCTAACTTCCCCTTCCTCTTTTAATAAAAATGGGCAAAGCTCTCAGCAGGTTCCTAAAACCCCAACCCAATCCCCACCCACCCAATCCCCACCCCCACCAAGGCAAACCGGGAGGGGACCAAAACCGAGAGTCCTGGAGAATTGAGTGGGTGCTAACTATAAATCCTGCAGAACAACATCTATATGGTTATCTTCAAGGAGTATTGCAAAGATCCTGTCTACTTTGTTAAATAGGTGAGTGTATCTACACTGTATTTAGAGACGTCTCTCATTCACCCCTATTCCGGGATAATTTCTCACTGCTTTTGGGGAGGTGCAGACAATGGATTCCAGATCTTATTTCATGATAATGCTAAGATGGAGCCCAAGAAAGGAGCTGGGCTGCCAGAAGTGAGAAATATTAAATGCATGAAACTTTATCCACTGGGAATAGTCCCAGTATATCCAGACGGTAAAAATCAAAGCTGAAATACATCTCCCTTCACTTTGCATTATTTTGCCATTATATGCCGAAACAAGTGCACGTCTGGGAGGGAAAAATGCCTCATTCATAAAGCATCTTATAAGAAAGCAATTGTTACAGAAATGTGGGCGCTTGTGCCGCCCTCCTCCCCACGTCCACTCGCAAAGCTGCTGCTTTCCTCGCTTAAACAGCAATCACCAAAGAACCCAGGGAAATCAAATCAATTTTAAATGCAGGGCAATACTATTAGAATATAGGGCTCTAAGAATCCTTACTCTTTTCCCTTAAAATTCATTTTGCAGACGCCCTCCCCCGCCACCCCCACCGGAACTGGAGTGTTGAGGAATGTTAGCGTGTAGATTCAAAGCTGCTTCCATCATATTGGCCACTTTCTAAATTATTCCCTTTGAGCTTCTTTAAAGAAGTGCACCTGCAGAATTCTGACACACAGGCTTTGATTAAAAAGGGATCGGATTTTTTTTTTTTTTCTCTGTACCTTATAGATTGTGTAGGAAGCCCAAGTCCTCTTTGAAGAAGCTCATAAACCATGCGGGCAAAGCTTTGGAAAACAGAAGAGAATGAAATGGTACATACCCCTCCGAAGGAATTACATACTAATCAACGTATTCATATTGTGTGTGTGTGTGTGTTTTACTATAGTTCATAAAATTAGTAGATGACACAAATATAACAAATGTGAGATTCTCTCTATGCAGATGCTGTCAAAGCTGGGAGCTAGTAACATTTCTGAAAGGAACTGATGATGAGTCTGAATCAACTTATTGGTCCGGATTTTCCTCAGCCGCCAGAACCTGCTAGGCCGGCCTGCACCAAAAACTGCAGCCTCCGCCTGGTCTCCGCAGGCCTCCCGCCCCGCCCTCGCCCTCCCTAATTATGCAAGCGGCAGGGGAGCGGGACCCGGTGAGTTAAGATCGCAGGGCGGGGGAGGGGGTTTTGTACCGAGAGGACTGAAACAACGCAAAAGGGCCAACCACACTCATTTTCATCCCAGAAGATTCCCGTAACAACGTGAGGAAGGGAGGATAAGGGTGGCTGGAAGAGGGGTGAAGTGAGATGGAGGGCGGGCACTGCGAGAGTTTCCTAAAAATATATTTAAAATTAAAAAGTTCGTGCGTCTCAGTCAACCAGCTCTCAAAGCATTGACACCAACGTTTCTCCGATTTTCTTCCAATAAGTTAGCGTTTTCTCATGTTTAGTCTTATGTTTATTTTCCAAAGGGAAGGGGAAATCATAGTTTTCTTTTATTATCAGTATTACTAAGCTCGAAAGAACCGAAGTGGAAAATCCGGACGGTTGTCTCCAAGTGTATCTTGAAATAGACACTGAGAACCGATATTGTTGCTCCGTTGTACGCCTCAGTTTTTTTTTTTTTAAGTTATTTAGCTTTTTTTTAAAATTTTGATTGTATGTGTATTCTACCTAATATAATTCTTCCAAAGCCAATCCAACATTTTAAAGCTAAAATTAAATTTTTGTCTGTTTTTCCTTTTGTATTTAAAACATTTTTCCTTCTTTTTTTAAAAATTTTTCATTTCCTGTGTTTCTCCTCCTTGTCGCCAGTTTTACTACCTGGGCCTTCCCCAGACGTGTGCCTGTTACTGGTGGTGTTGTTCAAGAACATCTTGTCCATGCCTTTGAGCGCCTCGGTGAGATAGTTCTGCAGGGCCGTGAGCGCGGCGCAAATGGCCGGGGCGCCGAAGCCGTGCGTGATGAGGCTGAAGTGCGTGAGGCAGCTCTGGATCCCCGGCTCCAGGATGGGGCTGGGTCGGCTGTTCCCGATCGGTGTCCGGTCCTGCGCCAGCAGATCCGTAAATTCTTTACAAAGTTGCCTGCAAAGGGGTGGGCGAGGCACAGAAAATCACCCTCAGTGTCGTTGTCATTGGCATTAGAAAGGAGACGCTCATACAAGCCCAGAGGCGCCGGGTCACCGAAGAGCGAGGCTAATGTGGGCGATTCCGCTCTGTTTCCTTTCCCAGCGCTCTCTCTTCTCGAGCAGCTGGGACTGAAAGGAAAGCGGGGGTGGGGAGGTAATGCACCCCTTCCACCCCAAAGCCTTGCCTTCCCCCGACTTCAGCCTTTTTCCCTTCCATTCCAGGACCGCGTGGACTCTGCTTTGGGACATTCGCTAGGCTTTAGCGGTTGATTTTGAATACTTCATAATGTTGAGCTCTTACCTGGCATTTCTTTTGAGCTATTTCCCCCGCGTCCCTCCCACCTCTCCAACCTCTTGGTGATCAGGCGCAAAAAGCCCTGAAAGATTTAGGCCCCTCGGCCACAAGCCTGTCCCTGGCACTGAAGCAGATTGCTGGAGCCTTCCATGGCCCAGGGCAAGAAACTGTTTATTCTAGAGAATGCTGATTCCATTCAAAGCAAAAACCTGTTTACCTGCAGTATTGGGGGAGGGTGGTAGTTTCTGCCTTCCCCCTTTTCTTTCTTCTAAGTGTAGGCTACTGAAAATCTTTGTATAACCGGACTTGTCAATATAAAAGGATTCCCATATAGTTTAAATAAAACTTAAAGGTAGGCTGTTAAGACACTAGGGAGAATAGATTTTTATTTGTTGAAGGTTTTTATTTCCTCAAGCCACCTACAATTTAGAGGAATCTCCCAGCATTAGAAAGTCTGCGCTCCTATCAATGGATTGAGCTTATTTGAGAAATTTTAATATAGGAGCTGGATGGGATGGTTTTAGCCCTGAAGGTCAAATGGCTGGCAGGCAGACACACAGCATCCCAAAGGCCACAGCTTTTCACAGATGGGCAGATTTTTCATGTCCACCTGCCTCCACCCAGCCTATGGGTCTGTGGGGTTTAGAAAAAAACAAACCCACAGCACTCCAGTCCTAGACCTCCAATGGGTTGGCCTGACAGATACCTGGCCACACCTGGCCTAGCCAACAGGTAAACAGGGCAAGTGATTGGACTCAAAGAACCCTGAGGCATCCTTTCCTAGGGTGCTGCCACTTTGGGATAGTGGTTAAATCTGATGAGGAATACCACCCAGTCACAGCAGCTAAACAGTTGCTGGTTTTAAGGCAGGTGGATAGAGAACACTAACAGGCACCCTCCATTCTCCCTTTGAAATACACACATACATCCTCACAACCAGGAAGAAATAGATAAGGGTTCTAACCAAAGTGGGGCAGTTTTTAAGCTCTTAAGAGGTACACCTTAGAAACACCTGTGGGGTTCAAACACACACTCCCAGGCTCCCACCTCCAGTAATTCCAATTTAGAAGATTTGAGGATAGCCCCATACAGAAATATCTTGAAAAAGCTCGCCAGCTGATTCCGATACCCCAGGGTCAGAAGTGCTGGCCTAAGAGAAGCCACAGTGCTTGGACAGGGGGCAGTTAGATGCATACCTTAGGGAAATGAGAGTCATGTGTGGGTCCTATCTGATTTATACAGTTTGGTTTTATTTTTTTCCCTAAAATATCCTTCCTCTTTTATAAAACACAACTGATTCCCCCACCCCACCCCCCGCCCCCAACACACACACCAGACACCAGCACAAGGGGTAGGAGGGCAATCTACTGACAAATATCTATTATATTGCTGGTTGATACAGCAGATGAAAACCTTTTAAAAAGAGGGTGGATGCCAGGTTTTGATCATTGGGAGAGATGGGTAAAGTCTCTCCTTAAGTTTGTACTCATTACCAAAGTGCCAAAAAATATATTCTGAACTGGGGAGAACAAATGCTTACAGTCAAACATTTTAAATCTTCAAAGCCCAAACCAGAGTCTGTAAGCAATTAAAGTTCTGGGACATTAATATTTTTTGACCCTGCGGAAAGGGGCAATCAAATTCCAATCACATCTCAAAAACATCTGGACAAATTTGAGCAAATGATTTTTCAGCCTTCCATATATTTCTTTAAATTACGCTGTCAACGGGACAAACCGCGTCCTCGAGCACTAAATAAATGAGCGCCGCTGTTTGGGCCGCGGCTGCAAGAGAAACGTGCAGGCGCACGCAGCACCGCCCACTGCAGGCCTGAGCCGGCCATAAAACACCAACAATATGACACCGAAGCCAAAGACAGGAGTAAATCAAATAAATAGAAAACCCACTGTAAAAGTTCAAATGAGCTCTAGACCTAAATTTAGTCAGAGATTTACTATTTTCCCCTCTGGAGTTGTAGTAAATTTTACAAGTCTGTGGAAGATGACAAACAGCAACGTTGGAAACGGAGTAATTAGAGCTCTGTGTAGAGATGGGTACACGTGGGTTTTATAGACACCCTGAGCGAGCACACATGGCTATGTGGCTACCACAGGGAGATAGATGTGAAACCCAGGCAGAAATATGCACCTTCGGATCCAGGGAAGAGCTGGAACAAGAACTACTCAGAAAAGATCTGCCTGACATTCTCAGAGTGATAAAAGAGAATTGTAAGAAGCCTGGATTCGGATTAACAAAGCCATTTTCCCCAGAGAGAAGAGACCTGAGACAAACCTGTAGCCCATCAACTCTGCCCACCTTGCTTGCCACAGGCTGCAAATGCTACTTCTAGACAACCCTCTGGATTCTTTCTCTGCCCCTCCCCACCACCTACTCCAAAGTCGGGCGGCCCAGCCAGCTGGGAGTGAGATGAGGGCCCAGAGTCTAATCACTCACTTGGTGGCCAACAGCATATTCTTTCGGGAGTGCAGGTCACTCGGGTCTGTGTGCTGCCGGTTCAAATACTCAGAGACGGCTTTGGCGGGAAACTCTGTTTCGCAAATGTACCCAAAATCCCGAGCTAAGTGAACAGCTTCTCCTGAAAAAGACAGCAGTGAAGGTAACATTCAGCGCCCAGGCCCTAAATATCCCAGGGCAGGAGACATTCCCTTGTCAACTTTGTTAGTATTTCCAGAGACGGCCAGCTGTTGGAGCCAAAAGCAAAGGTGAGAGATGCCTAAAGGAAAAAAATGATTCTGAAGCTGTAATTAAAATTGGTGGGACCAACTTTGTTCCTGCCCCTTTTTCCTGCCTCTCCCTGAGCCGAGTCCTAGGTAGACATCCCCTGAATAGCTAAGGGGTCTCCTACATCCCACTCTTTTTGTCTTAAGGGAAACGTGCCGATAAATTCAAGAACCACCTTACAACTGAATCTGGACATTTGGCTGGACATTTAAGCCAGATCCCTCTTTCTTTTTAAAGTATCTGTTACACTTACTTTAAATAAAACTTAAAAGTCACCATCATCTTGCTACAATTGTATTACAACAAATATATAAAAACAAGCCTATGTGTATAGATGTCCACATATATTAAAGACTACATGTAAAATGTATATGGAAAGAGTATTTCTATCTGCAATGAAATAATAATTCTCCTTGTCACTTTTCCTGCTAGTCAAGTTTCAGGTTTCCCCACTTCAGAGGTTCCTGTCATCATCCTCCTACTTCAGGACTTTTCACTGCATGAAGATGACACAGCAGCTACAGAAAACTGGGGTATCTAAGGTATTACTCAGCTTATGCGAAAGCCCCTTTCAAGTAAAGCATTATTACCCTTTAAAACACAGCCTGTTGGGGTTCAAGGAAAGATCCCAAACATGAAAAACAGATATGTTGAAATACACCATAGACCCCATAGCTACATTATTTTTAAAGAGGATGACTTACTTTTAATCATTATTATCATAATAACAAAAGACTTCCAGCATGGTGCTTACAAGGAGTCACAAAACTAAAAACTGGCAAACAAATATTGGAATTTTAGTGGGGTTTCCAGTTTCCTCCCTTCTCCACTAAAATCCCTATCTTGAGCTAAGGTTACCTTGATTGCTTTTCAAAATGAGGACTATGATATTAGCAATTCCCTGAAGGGTAAAATGTGAAACTTCCAGGCTGAGAGTCAATCACTAGTAAGTGTGGTCTGGAAATTCAGTGACTCCTCCCTCTGGAGGGTGTTCAGGCCAAGCAACTTTGCCTTAAAAATGGCCAAGTATAAGGCCTATAACTATAATTATTAATGGTTGCTACTTAAATATTTTAATATTCCATCTTGTAAATACCAACTCTCTACAGAAGCGTCATAATATTGCACCCATACAAATGGAATTAAAACACAAGACCTACAAGCTAGATGCTAGAGAAAATTCTGCATCTTCCTCCATTAGGACCACCTGACTGTATTTCATATTACTTTCCACAAATTTAACTGCAGATCCTCTTGTTCTAGACTGTGTAGATGATTCTGTTTATTACATACCATAAATATCATCCCGAAACCCAAACTGATGAGCAAATTATAAGGTGCTTATTGCAATTATCACCCTTTAATTCACAACTGATGAATCTACATTGAAGATAACACCGGACTCCCCTACATATTTCCCCACCCCTCCTCCCCAATCTTCCCCTAGCTATCATTGACCTTACTAAGCTATCAATATTTCAATAACAATATGTCCCAGGTAATCTGCAGATTTGGCCCTAGGAGTGACAAAAGTTTTTAAATAACCATTAGGGGTCATGAATGCAATGTGTTTTCTACTACTGACAATTCAAATCTGGCAAGGTGAAGGGGTATAGAATGAATTATTGCTTAAAGAGTTACTCTTGCAAGAGTTCACATAGAGGATGTCCTGCATGTGGCAGCAGGAGTGACCCCTGCTTTGGTTTGGAGGCTGGACCTGAGCACTTTTCAGAGCACTTCCCTTGTCCTCTCTACAGCTGCTGGCTTCCTCTAAGTAAAAGGACCTTTGAACCTCTCTCAAGCAGCTGCTTGACATCCAGCTCATAAGAGCACAACAATCACAATGATTTCCAGTTAATCATGAAATGTGTAAAATGTCAGCCTCCAGCCGACAGTTAAGCTCAGCCACTTCGTGAAATGGCCACACGTCTTGCTTACCTTCCACCAGGGAGGTGAGTAACGTGACATTTGCTGCTTTGCGCCTGCCCGCGGGTAAATTCAAACCGATTTTTTCTAGCCTTTCTCGCAAAGATCTCCCCCCATTTTTCGATTTGGCTCTGAAATTGCAAGAATTAACATTCTGATTAACCTTAGAGTGTTCCTGAAACAAAGTTTAGACTTAGCAATCTAAAGCCCAGTGGAGCTTGAAGAGGTTTTAACTTGAGGTTAGCACATTTTTCCCCCTTCCTTTTGGTTATTTGCTGATAGTTTGCTGAGGTTTGCTTAATTTCTGCAATACAGAGAGTTTTTTTTTAAAACTGAGTTTTCTTTTTTTATCTTGTAAGAAAATAAAGGAAAAAAAAGGATACCAGATGGGAATAATTAGGTGTAGTTATGGGTCTAGAGAAAGTAGAAGCTGCACATGCACGCACGTGCATGTTGCTTCCTTGTCAAGGAGGCAGTGAGGTGAGCAGAAACTGGGCAAGCATAACCTTGCTGAAAAGAGGGAAAGAGCCAGGTGGCTCAGAGAGGGGAGCGCGCTTACTGCAACAGGTGGGCTTTGTGAGGAAGGGGTCAAGAGCTGCTGTATATGGTGTTATGTTAAAAGGAGAGGGCAGACTGAAATATGAAATGGTGATGATCATAACAGTAAGGTTAACATTTTTGGAAGTGTAGTTATGTGATAAGCACTTTATATTGATTATTTTACTTCATCTCAGCAAGTTTATATACACAGGCTTAATGTTCAGGGGTGATTGAAAACTTCCACACTCTGAGGCTCAACGCACTCACTTGAAAACTGAATCAAAGGAGGTCAGAGCAAGAGGATTCAAAATGAGAAAGTTCCTGGGTCACACTCTTAATGTCCCCCAAGATTCTCCTTGTATGTGCTAAAGTATGGACAAAAGTACAAGTAAAAATCCTCAGTTACTATAATCTCTTTTGCTGTACATACAGTCACTTTTAGGAAAGAAAAGGACTGTCAACCCCCAAAACGGGTTATCTTAGAAAGTTTTGTCTCAGACAAAGTCACTTTCATATCAGGGACACTGCCAAAGTGTTCAGGCATTGGCAGGGACTTTAAGGGAGGCATTACATCTTAACATAAAAGCCACATTCTCTCCCATTTCCACGAGGAGGAGTCAGTCTCTGGGCTATGGAATACTGTGAAGCACCTGAATGGCTCCAAGGAATACCTACAAATAATTCTAAAGTGGTATTATTGCTATTACTGGTGGTGGTGTTATTGAAGGAAGAATATCAGAAATTTAGAAAAAGAGTTTATCAAACTGGGTTACGGTGCATCAGCAGGTTGAAAAACCAATTTCACTGGGCGCCAACTGCATTTAAAACACGCAAAAGAGGAAAGAGTACCCTGGAGGTATGAAGAGAGTTGCTTCATGAAACTTATGGGTTTTTTTTTTATGGGGGGTAAGGGGGGATGTTAGTTCCGCGTTGTACTCAGGCTAGAGAATGCCCCCTGATATGTCCTAGGGGTGAGAGGGAGAGAGGCGCCAGGCGCAGGGCCAGGAAAGTGAAACGTTCCCAGGGTGGCAAAATCTGCCGTAGAACGTGGCGGCACGGGCAGGCCTGGGTGCAAGGGCACCAGAGTTTGTGGGCGAGCACGTGGTGGCCACGGATCCTCGCAAGCGCGGCGGGCCACCTGGTTGCTAGGCAACCGCGTCAGTCGGCAGATTGAGTTTTGCTGGAACCTTCTCCCCCCGTCCAATAAAAACTGATATTTTTTTGTTTTTCGTTTTTTGTTTTGTTTTGTTGGTTTTTTTTTTTTTTTTTTTTTTTTTTTGGTGGTGGGGTTACCTTCTGAGGACTCCGCCGAGGAGAGATGCATTGAGGCATTCGGGGGGCGACAGCCGTCTCTGAACTTCTCCCACAGTTACTTTGTACTTCGAAGTTGAACTGAGCAGAGACAAACGGCCTGGAACGGAGCAAAACACCTCGCCGGTGTTGACAGACATGCCTCCCAGGAAGCCATCTTTATTCATCATTAGAGAAGTCACCGATTTGGGAGGAACCGGAACTAGAAAGAGAGAAAAATTGCCATAAAGGTGACCAAGTCTCGATCCTGGTGACAGGCTGATAGAATAAGTCTCTGTGTGAGGCCACTGGACGGACACCAAGTGGAAAGCTGTGGGAGGAAGTGTTTGTTCCAGTGGGGCTGCAGTGCGTTCAGAGGGCTGTAAGATGGCAAAAAGAGACGACAAAGCCATACCTCCTCTGGAAACTTGCATCATGTGTAGACATATGAGTGTCATTTGCTACAGTCCTGCTCACTACACAAATCAAGAAATCAAACAATCCAGAGTTTGGACTGCGCTGTGAACCAGGCAAATCCTATTCCATCGTGTGCTAACTCTGTGACCTTAGACACCTGATTGACTCTCTCTGAACCTCCTCAGTTTCCTTATCTATCTCCTGAAGATAATAACACCTATCTCATTTGGTGCTGAAGTCTGATGGTGATTATCACCATGCAGTGATATAAAATGGTAATTCCAATGGAAACCCCTTCCTCCTTTCCTATTGGACCCAGATCTATGGTCATCACTAGAAAGGATAATGAGGGTGGACCCCATCAGATACTATGCCCAAGAACAGACAAATAATACCATTGAGCTGGGGAGTTGGGCCCAAAAGAGCTGCTCATCTCTTTAAAGTGGGCCCCATTCTTCCCTACATAATAACAACAGATTCATTTAGAAAGGAACCCAAATGCTCATCTTCAGTGAAAGCAATTCTGCAGTGACATGAATTTTGTTTACAAATTAAAGCACCGGCTGGTGATTGTTTGGAGCAGTTATGATTTACAACAGGTGCCCTGATCAATCAACCAATCACTCTAATTCATATGAGCGGCGGTCTTGCCTTGCCCCAGTTGTTTCATTTCGGCAAGTAATTGATAACAAACCGCACTCAAGGTATGTTTTATGCAGAAGTTAATAAGAGTTGACAGCTGGTTGCCACTGCTACCCTGGTGCATTCAGCCTCTCCAGCCTGTATTTCTGCTTAATTGTGTTTCAGTGTCATCTGCATGTCAGAAAGAGGCTAGGCTCAGTGGAACCAGAAGGCTGGGAATGAGGAACAGTCAACCTCCCAGTTCCCTGGCAGTATTGTCCCTTGGACTTCACTGCTTAAGCCCATTTTCTTTATGTAGGTTTTACAGGCCCCTGAACAGGTGACTATACCTCCTGATTTTCCCTATAACTTTGCTTCTTCCACTGGGATATGACGCTTCCAAATCTTCATGGTATTTGTTGATCACCAGTCCAAAAAATCTATGGAAACATGCATCTAGTGTGGAAAAAAAGAGGTTTCCAACACTACCTATTTAATAAAGTCTATCTCACTCTGTAATTGTGTGGGGGAAAGATATGCCTAGAACCCTATATATCAAACAAGATGCATAACCTCCCTTCTATGGAACAGACTAACCAATAATGAGTATTTCTCTAACAGTTTATTCTCTCTACCACAGATTCCAGTATACAAACCTCCATAGTTGTTTAGAGACTCCTAAAAGCCAGGTTGGACCCAAATCTTTTATTTACTATGAATTTCATTAGATCCTTTATAAACACCTTGTGGAAAAAAGCTTTATTACAGGAGTGGATGAGGAGACTAAAGCCTTCCCTGGTAGGCATTTTAGGATCTATAGATCTGTCCACAGAGCCCAAGACCTTGTCCCAGATGGATGAATGATGTTGGCAACAGAGTAAATATTCTGCACTGTCATGGGGTGGGGACAGGGGATATAGAGAGGTGTTTCTTCTTTTTGATTTCCCTCAGTTTCTCATCAGTGACTCTGCTTCCCATTTAAGAATGAATCAATGAAAAGTTGAAGTGTGAATGTTAATCAAATTTGAGTAAAATGTGAACTTAAAGTCACTTAATAGGTGATTGGTGGGGGCATCTGTCTTATTCTTCACAACAGTGCTGATTCCCATAATTCAGATTCATAGTGAAGGCATTATAAACAAATAATTGACAATCATGGGAATTAGCATTATGAAAACTTGGAAAAATTCATTTTCCAAAATATAGATGACCGTTTGTAATTTTAACATGGTGTGAATTATAGAAATAAATTATATAAAAATCTCACCTCGATACTCAGCAACATATTTATCTCTAAATACTATTTAGAATATTTTTTTAAATAACAACAACCAACTCCACTAAGCTGAAAGTACGAAATTCAGTTCCTGCTTCCTACAGTGGATAACCAAATACCCACTGAGGGTTGGACTCTTACCTGCTTCTCCCCATCCCAGAAGCTAAACCTCTGGAAAAGCTGGGCCTTTTAAAGAAATGTTATAAACCACCCTGTAATTTCACTATTGTTAATTGCCTGATTCACCTGACAAGAGCTATTTCCTTTGGGGAATGTATATTGCTCCCTGCCATGGGTTGAATACCTTTCTGCATATACATTATCACCTGCATATCCCCAATCCAATCAGCTTCTGTTAGTGCACTGCCCTCTCTGGGAAGGTTTTTTTTTTTTTTTTTTTTTGCTCCCTGCAGTCAAAGCATGGACAATGTCAGAAGATGTGCTTTGGACTATATTTCCATTTTCTAATTTAAGTATCACAATTGTGTTCCTAGCCTCCTATCCTCATGTTCTAAACCTCTCTCCTTAGTATTGGTCCCCTAGACTAGATCTGACACATTTCTTGTCCCAGCTTTCCTTTAGGTCCATAACTCCATCATCAACTACTTTCCCTTCCACTTTCACACCTGCTTAGCTCACCTGATTAACCCCATATTTTATTTTCTTTGTCTTTTCCCTTCTGCTTTCTTCTAGTTTATCAATAAACCCAGCGCTCAACAGGGCCCGGTTGATTTGTTAGTAATTATGAGCACACTGTTCCTGCTCATGGAACCCAGAGATGACTGAGATAGGTTTAAAGCGACAGCAGGAAATAGTAAGGAAATGGGGCATGGCAAAACTCAGCATGAAGCTTTCAGTTCTTTACATGTTTACAATTTTCTGTGCATATATTAAAAGTGTTTTTTTTCCTCTTCAGTTCCCAGTTGGGTGTCAAGGCCAAGTTCTGGATGTAACACCCACAAAACTCATTTCCCCCCATTTTTTGCTGCATTATGTTGGGAAGAAGTAAAAAATGGCTAAAAGCAGATCAATATTTCATTAACATGGTTGGAGTTTTAGTTAAGAGAGAGGAAAGAAAAATGATTAGAGAAAATTTTATTCATTAGTGGACTATAGCTCTTTAGAAGAGCTAAAATGTTAATAGGCTAGCTTTTATTCTCTACTCTTTAAACTTAAGCGTGAAATTATAGTTTTGAGACTTTTGTGTTTGATTGGATCTGCTGGTGAGGAGAAGAGAAGAAATGGCCCTATCTTATAGATTCATGGGGTAAGTCCCTCTGAAAGGCACTCTTGACCTAAAGATGTAAATGATGCTGGAAACAACCAGGAGGCTTAGCATTGATTCAAAGTGGCCCCTGAAAGTTAGCACTCTTTCTCTCCAGCAGAGCACCCTTTCCTCACATTTGAACACTTTCTCATGTACCTGAGCATAAAATTTTATTCCACAGCTATAGCATGTGTGTAAGTGTGCGGATTGAAATTGTGGAAAGAAAAATAATTTCCACAAATAAAGCAGGGATATTAAAAAACTCAAACATCCAGTGTTGGCATCTTGTAGGGACAGAGTCTAAAAGGCTAAGAGGCTGGAAACTGAGTTGGGTCTCATCACTTACATGGTGTATAGGACCATGAAAAAGTCATTTATTGTCTCTCTCAGTTTCAGCACTTGGAGTGTTGAAGAAGAATGTCTAATCTGCCTGACTTTGAAAGAGTGGCTGCAGTGTTTCTCAGGGTCTCTAGTTGATAAATAGCTATTGGGATCCAAGTCCACCCTGGAAATGTGAACTTTTTCCTTTTGAGAGGAAACTCATACCATTCAGAAACTCTGACAGACTCTCAGAGCATTTTACCTTCTAGGTCAGAAGAATCCCAACAGAATCAATTGTAACAGAAATTTGGCAATTTCTTTACTTCCCATGAAAGAAAATCCACACCAATCAAAGTGTTTATGTGGGGAAGGGGCCAGAACTAATGGGAAAAAAAGTGGAAGAGAATGGAGGTTGAACTGAAACTAACCAAACAGGATATCCCTAAGACCAATGAAAATGCCCCACAGTCACAACATTTGAACCTTGGATTCCAGCCACGCTAGCCTTTCCAAGAAATCCCAGCATATTTTCTGCTGTCTAAGGTGTTAAACAGATTGCATAGTGGCCTCTGATTGCACCAAAAACTTTTTTCTTAAAGTTTAGGTGAGCCTTTTTCTGAGTTAAGCAATATGATGGTGGCAGTGATGATTTTTATTAGCTGGGTACACCCTCTTCCTTCCCCCAGATTTCTAATCTTAATGGAACTGAGAGTTAAGAATGATTTTTTAATGTCTCGTTGGATTTTTAGACTGTTAATGTACCGAATCCTTCTCATTATTACTTTATTGATTGCTCATTGACCAGCCCCCTTCAAATCGTATTAACCACCCTCTGCCGGTTTAGATTAGGAGAGTTTAAAAAGCACCTTTCATTACTCTCCCCCCCATCCCCAACCCCACCCCCCGCACACTTCTGCCATGGAGTTGAGACTAGGCAGCTTAATGGGAGCTCTAATGGGGCAGCTAAGAGGAGAGGGGCCACGGTCCCTGCCGATTGCATTAATAGCTCAAAGGGGGCCAATACAGAAAATTAGCTGTAAACGAGCTCTGGAGATCTTCAAATGAAAGAGCCATTTATCACGCTGGCTACCTTCACTCCACTCGTTTGCTCTCTCTACTGGGAACAACTCATTTCCTCTTAACTAAATTACTTCAGAAATGTCAGCTAAGCCCAGATAGCAAACATAACAAGAGAGGGAGCCCATAATCTATGGGGTGATATAAACACAGGTGAAAAATTAGGCTGGTTAAATTTTGGAAGGAGCCTTGCCATAACTGGAGAAAGAGACACAGAGATAGAAACATGTATCATTTATGCCTAAGTCTTCCAGCTTCATAAACACAGGGTCAGAGACCCCCAAACCTAGACCACTTGCCAATCTTTTATTAATGAGGTAGCATTTTTTTTTTTTATCTGCCTAAAGGCCCATTAGAAAATATATTAAGAAACTATGCCTTCTTCCAGGTGCTGAAATGTGGAATGTTTAGTTCACAAGACTTTCTCACCTCTTTTACAGAATTAATCTCTTGGAAACATCTCTCATAATTGGGGAGATGATGAGCAAAGATGGGAGCCTAGGGTGCAGGGAAGGGGCCAATGAACCCACCACAACTTTAAGTGGCTTATAGTGAGTTAGAAAAGTAAATCAACCTTGTATTCTTGTTTTGCCTATGGCTCTCTAAAGAAAAAAATGACGTTAGGGTCTTTTCTTAATGTAATAAAGCAAATATGTCAAATATTAAATAATGGAATTGACCTACCATTTCATCATATTCATACCACACCCCCGAATCAATTAAAGTAACTGGGATGCTACTTAAATGTTTTAAGCTGCACATTTTTTAAAAAACTGCACATTTGGGAGGACATAAAACGTACTCGTGTTTCCAAAAACAGAACCATCAACTTTAGTCGTCATTCTCCTTTTCTTATTCCTGGAGACAACCTTGCACATCGATATTCACATTTCACTGACAAACATATACAAGCTCTGAAACCAAAGCATCCCACATCTAAGAATATCTCCAGCTCTGTTTTGCTAGGCAAGCTAAGTTACAAATATTTTTATTGGACCGGCTATGAATAACATTTCTGATTGGTCATCTGTTGGGCATGTTCCCCTACCAGCCCAAATGATGTTGCTAGGATACAGAACACTGAGCTAAGTGGTTCTAGCTTTCCATGAAAAGGGAGGAGGAACTAAAACAAACCGAAAAAAGCCAATGGAGAAGCTCCTCCCCGACCCCACCCTAATCAACCAGCAATTAACAGAAAGAAGAGACCCAAGAGAAAATGGGAAAAGTGAGCTGTCAGCACAGTTGCGAATTTAAGCACCGAGCCTAGGTATCCTAGCAAACTCAAAAGCTGGCATTAAAAGCCAAAACAATATTATTTAAAGACAGAGAGAGAGATGTTTGAAGCAACCATTAAAATAAATAGTTTTGCCCCAAACCTTACTATACTTCGGGATATTCATTCCAAGGCCCAATAGCATCTTTAGTACAGCTTCCCCCACCTACCTTTCAAAGCTACTCTTCCTGCCTTTGTAAAAGAAGACAATTTAGAATACCTCACCCTGTTTGGAATCCTTATTCCAAAACCCTCCTACTATCCCATTTGAGTCTGGATGAATTACTTCCCAAAGCATTTTTTCTTTTAATTGTTTTTGTTGAATGTCAAGTGGCTCAAGTGAATCATAAATGATTGAAAGCTGGGGATTGTTGACACTAAATATAGGGACAGAATTTCTCCAGCATCCATAAGAACGGGTTACAGTATTAAAATTGTATCTCCAAATGCCAGTTCCTGTGATAATTAAAGATTGCCATGTTTATACATTTAAGCTCCTAAATGTGTGGCATGTGAGTGACATTCAGGCCTTTCAGCAGCTACACTAATCGCCAGAAATTCTCTCAGTGACTGTCAGAGACGAGGAGAAAAAATTAAGCAGCTGCAATACGCCCAAAATGAGTTATTGTAATTACATTTAATTAGTTTAATTAGTTAATTATTTTGCTTACAGCTGTACAAGAGACTGCAAACATTTGTTAATATCACATGCCCTTTAACAGTATGGGGTGATTCCACAGTCACACTAAATCATGAATGCATATGTAGGAAGATTTAGAAATGTGCATAGGCTGTCTCAGCTTCTCAGGATGCGCATATTTAGCAACACATTTGGCACAATGAAAAAATAAATAAATAAAAAACAACACATAAAACATAGAGAACTGGGAACAAAATTATCACCAAAAAATCAAATACAAAACGAAGAAAGAGCTGTCTCAATAACGTAGGATTTAACTCAGCAAACTCCAGTTATCATTGAAATAATTGTAGCACCTTCTTGAAACCAGTGTTTACCAGCCAATTCCACATATGATGATAGCTCAATTATTTAAGATGTATCGAGAATGGCTACCAAATATGCCATAAGAAAAATTGCAACAGTCTGTCTCACTCATCTGAGTTTGTGTCTGAGGTTTTCATTCTCCCTTGCCCAACTTCCATCTTCCCAACATGCCCTTTCCCTTAGTCTGACAGCCATTGTCCTATGATTGTGAACATTTATGTCTTGTCAAATAATGAATTCCCCCAAAGTGAAAACTCATCATAAAGACATTAATGCACGAGAACACTTTGCTTACTTTTGGGGGGAATAATCCATACCTTTTTTAATGACAGACTGGTCCAATAGATTCATGCCGCTGTTATTGGCATCTTCAACTGACTGTGAATATAAAAACATCACTATTCAAATTGACTGGATATTAAAGAATTGTACACATAAATCATGTTATTCCAAACTGGAACTTCTGTTATTTCCATCTATATTAATTCACAAAGGGCTGTTTTATTATTATTATTACCTCCAAATCGACATAGAAATGAAATTTACTCAAATTATAAATTTTTCCAATGGAAGAAGTGGAGAAAGAAAACTTTGAGAGACATCTGGGATGCAACATTGGTTTAGTTATTATTTAAAACATAGATATTAGACAGATAAACCTTTATATTATTTGCTCTTATGAATCGTAAAAATTTGGCAACAGCTGACAGATTTTCACCAATATTAGTAAGAGCAATTTGTGTTTTCCATTCTATCCCAGTGCATCTTAACCCCAGAGCCATTTTACAAATACATAATAGTTTACATTATGGGATTTTAATTAAAGTCTGAGCAATTTGGAATGGAATGCAAACAGCAACACACAGGAACATGTTTGCAAGCCTCTAGGACTGCACACCCATTACAGTCCATACACGTTCCTGTAGACTATGAGCTTCTTGCTGCACAATGACAATCTCTTGGAGGAACCTTCACAATTTACCCTTCCTCCCAGCCCTCCTGATGCTGCTTCCCAGCAAGGAGCACACCTGCTATGAAGGCAGTAACTACAGACAAGCAGACACACACAAAGGTCTAGATCCTCCCAGTCAGCGCCTAGGTAATTGCAAGGAATGTTCATCTTCTGTGCCACAGTTTCATTCCAGAGAAGGAAAGTTTTAACTCTGAGCACTGGTAGCACTTCTGAGAGGAAATAGCTGTTGGAGCAAGTTTCTTACTGTCAGAATACACATGAACAGTTCTGGCTGTGCATCCCAGGGCATCCAAAAGCAGTGAGTTCCCTTTCTCTCCCACCAAGAAAATAAATACTAGGTCTTTCTAAAATCTACAACTACCTTCTTGATCCTTCAAAACCTAAGTTGGGACCAAATTGTTACCCACTTTACAGAGAAGTAAAAAGCAAAGGGCTTGAGAGTGAGGAGGTGTTTTCACAGCACTCACACCCACTCATGCTGCATCCTCAGAGAGTGAGTTCATCACAAGAAAAAGACTGTCTACCCCAAACAAGCAGCACTTTAGAAATGAGATGATCTAATCGTAGAGGGGGCATGTTGATTTGTTTCTTTTCATTTTTAATAGTCACTCTTTTGTTCTCAGAAAGGTGAGCAAAATTGTTATTCTCTATAGGAACTGTTTTCCTTGCTGCAACATGCCATGCACATCTTAAGAAATAGTAAAAAGGTGTTTTAAAAATATTTCATGTAAGTTGTTCATAAATCCTCAGGGGACCCTGCCACACACAAACACACACGATTCACACCTTTCTATGATCATGTGTATACAGTGACAATGTTTCCAGGCAGGACAGAAATATTCTCCTGTGCCGTGAGCAGCCAGACCCTGACTTACACTGACCTGGACCCGGGAACCCCCACACCTTACCCTCACTCTTGTACCTAAATATGTATAAACGCCTCATCAGCGACGTGGGGTAGTTGTGGTAGTTAATGAGAAGGCTCTTGTCTGATTTTCTATCTAATTACGGCCGCCTGCTGGGTTTTTGTACAGGATATTCACGCAGCATGCTGGCGCTTAATCGTCACAGGGAGGATCGTAAAGATTTAATTAGGACTGCATGCGGAAGCGCAGAAAAACAACTCAGACTCGTAATTACTAGACTTCTTTAGTTAAAAGTGATACCAGGGGTTGCTTTAAGACACTCGGGTGTGTTTGAGTGTGTGTATGTATTTGGGGGGGAGTTGACTTAACATCCTTATATGCTCATATTCTTGGGTGCTAGAGGTGATGGGAGGTAAGAGAGCAAAGGTGGGAAGAAGAAAAGAGGTGTACATGGCAACTAAACAAATCCCAAACTAGGTGTCATTTCACTCCCTCTGTCTCTCTCTCTGTAGGTGTTTTCCCGAGTTTTTAACACTTGTAGCCCCCTCCCCAACACCCCACACACACACACACACACACACGCACGCACGCACGCGCATGCACAATGGGTGAAATGTAGCATACCCAGAACCCAAACAGCAATTTGCTAGTTTAATAGCCCCTGTGAGTAAATTGAAATAGAAATTGACAGGGTTTTATAGTTTCATTTAAAAAAAATATTAGAAGCATTTGGTTAATTAGCTCTCCTCCTTGTCTTCTCTCATGGTAGGGGCTGTGACCCTGAGTGTGTGCATCTGGGTCACACAACAAAACCCTCAACCCATAGTCAGGGCAGCACCCTCAGGGTCTGCCTGCTCCCTGGCTCAGGGGGATCTGGAACACACACGAGGTCCTTGAGATCAGAACAAGTGACTTTAAGATCCAGGCCTAGGCACTCTCTGGTCTTTTTAAAGACTGGACCAGCACAGGCTACCCATTCTATAGCTGCAGGGAGTGTTGAAATCCCGACCTGCTTGTGTAACTTTAGCCCCCGTACCCCAGATCCCTAACTCAGAAAGGGATCCTTCTGTATTAAGCAGATGAGTGGAAGCCTCTGGATTCGAGGCTCTGGTCATGGAAACATAACCCCTGGTCTTTGTCACCTGCCCTGCATCAGTCAACTTCACCCTGGCCTCAGGAGGTCTGTCATCACCGCGGAGACACAGAACGTCCCTGTCTTTGCTGTTTCCCTCTAGGGACAGGAACAGGGTGTGTCCCTTGCACTACAGGGGTCATCCCAAGAAGATCCTGCGGACCTCCCGGCAGGTGATGGGATGTGATTAAGCAGGGGAGGAACAGGGTGGGGTGGGGTGAGTGGGGAGCCTGCAAGTGCCCCTGGTCTGCTGCCTGCTGCTTTTCTCCTTTCAGCTCTCCACCTCTGTGGTCTGTATTCCCAACAGCAACAACTTGGCCCTGAGGTGCTCTGTTCACACAAACACTCTAAATCCTTTCCGACGCTTTGACAAGACTATTCTCCCAAATACTGATCTGGCCCTGTTTTTCTCTCAGACTTTGCATTTCACCAAACACAATAAACTCACTCAATTATTTCTTTAAAAACATTTAACTAAAGAAATCTGCTTCTTGTTTTGGGGGAAAAATTCCTGAGTTCTTCGCTAGAGTCACTCAGCCTGCAGGGTGGTGGTGACAGGACCGGCATTAGCATCACCAACAGTAATGGTGATGAGTTGATCTACTTTCATTATCCAGCACTTTGAACCATGCTCAGAAAGGTTAATTTAAAAACTTTTCCCCCCGAGACACGTATTACCCCATGCATTAAAAAAAAAAAAAAACTATTAAATATTTCCTTTCTCGTATGATATTCTGAAATGAGCAGTATCTCTAGACAGGGACAGTCAAGCTCAGTTAAATCAACAAAACCATCATTACTCTTATTACTATCGGTAAATCCAGCCACAAATCAGGTAAATCCATCGTTTCTAAAAAAATAAATAACTGAATTTCTTTTAAAATAATAAACAATCACAGACCACACAGACAGCATTTGATGCTGTCACCACATTTTAACTGTTTAAAACTATTTTTTTTTCAGCAAGGTACAGAAGAATCACTCATGCACCCTTTTCTCTTTCCCATTTTATTTTCCTTTACTTCAGAGGTATGTCAAAGGATGCATAATAAATACAACTAGGACAATGAAACTGAAGTGTCAATTACATACCTGTAAACTACACTTATCTTTTCTGCAGACTATTTAACTTAGGGTGAAAAAGCAGACCTGCTCAGAATCACCCAAACAATTTTTAGGAATAATTTCTTTGATGTTTCTTTGTTTAGTTTAACCAAGTATTCTCAACCAAATCAGGCTCCATTGTGTAGACTGCAGATGGGATAGTGGGTGGGTAGGGGGAGTGTTTTGAGCCTTTTGTTTTAAGAAATAAGCACGTGATGCCTCTCAACTGGGATGATGGCAGTGGGGAGAGAAGAGTGTTAATATAGGCAGAGGCCAGGAGAGGGAGGTGGAGAATATTACACTACAGTCACTTAATGAACCAAAAAGTGAAAAGAATTTCCAAAATGGTATCTACCGTCATGTACTCCCGAAGTATGGCTTTCTGAGTTTCTCCTTCACATATGTTCTATTTCTCAGATGACGACTGCAACTCTATCTTGGAAAAAAAGCTCTGTGGCTTATGAGACATCCAAGGCAAAACCTGGCTTAGATGATCATAGCTCATTGTCATGCTTAGCAAAATCTTTGCACATCCAGCAGCAACCTCTGGAGCTTACAGAGGCCCCTGGACCTTAATGCTGAAGCTCTAGCCTCTAGGCAGCCAGGTCTTCACCTGTCAAGTCAGCAGGACAGCCCCACTATGGGGTGTGTGTGTTGGTAAAGAAGGGGTACCAATCTTGCTTCCACAAAGCACTAGAGAATATGCAGGAGATGGTAGCTGAGGCAGGACAAAAGCATTCACCTTTATTCTAATAATCTTAAGGTACCAAAACAAATCCATATTTCTCTCCTTCAAGATTTAATTTCTCGTGGTTTAGATTATCATAATTAGACCTCTGGAAATCGCCACTATAGAGCGATACATACAGACATACATAAACAGTTCTATATCACTGTCTAGTCCTGTTCTAACATGGGAACAAACTCCCCAAAAAGAGACAGAGCTGCCCTCTCCTGCCCTCCCCCCTCCCGAAGCATTCCTTATTCGTAGTCTTGTTTGTTTGTTTGTTTGTTTGTGGTTACCTGGACGTCTTCCATGCCGGGATGGCCGAGGCCGTGCAGCGAGAGGTTGTCACCCATGCCCGCGTCCAGGCCGTGGTGCGCCGAATGCAGCAGCACGTCCGGCCGGCGGACCGAGTGGTAGTCCCTCCGGGGGTCAAGGCCCGAGAGCTGGGGCAAGGCGGCCCGAGGCTGGGGCAGGAGAGATCCAGCTTCCGAACCCACTTCTTGCCGCTGTCGTTGCCCCCAAGGATGCTGCTGGGGCTGGTGCAGTGGGTTCAGGGAGTAGGGGTCGTTGACGTGGGAGTAGGGGTCCTGGCTCTGGTGGTAGGGGAGCGGCTGGTAGGGGGGTGGAAAGTAGGGCGGCTGGAAGTCCGACGACGGGGTGTGGGACAGCGGCGGGGCGCTCGAGTAGGGTCCTTGGGACACCGAGCCCAGCTGGGAGAGCCGCGAGCTGTGGCTCGGGACACCATCGTGCCGGTCCTGGGAGCGGAGAGAGGAAGGGACAGAGAGCGAGAGAAGGAGACAGAGAAAGAGAAAGAGACAGAGGCAGAGAGAGACAGAGTGACAGAGAGGAAGAAAAAAAAATACAAGTGACAAATGGAAGAGCCCGGCTTTTGTACGCTCTTCCCGGGACAAGGGAAGCAAGGATCTGAAACTTAGACCCCCCCAAGTTGACTCAGAGGGCCACATGATTTCAGCAATTTCAAACCCGAGGCTTGGGGAGAAAACGGGAAAGGAATCACCCACTTTAACATTTTAGCCGCCTTTTGGGGAGTGCAAAGCAGGCAAAAGGCAGGGGTACAGGAACAGTTTGTATGGAGGGAGATTCTAAATGCCTTAACTAAAATTGTAGGAGTCTTACATAAGGTGCTTGCTCCTCTGGGTGTTTTTAACTACTTTTTTCTAACTCTTCCAGAGGTCCAAATCACAACAAATAAAACTTCATAGAATTTGCTGTGCTACTCCCCCTGATTAAAAACCAACTTCTGCCTTCGCTGGAAATGCAGCTGGCTGATCAAGAGGAGCTTTCCACACAACCCGATCATTCCACGAGCTCCAAGGAATCAGCCTGGTCTGAGTTCCCAGTCACTCCTCCCTCCCCAGGAGAAATTAAAGAACTTAAATAGTATTTCATTGAAATGGATCTCATTCGAAATCATATCCTAAGCCCATGTTGAATTAAGTTGAGTTGTGGTTCACAGGAGTTATTTCTAAGACTGTTTTTCTATATCTAATGCTGTTATACTCAGGGTGTGAAAATGAAGAACCTAAAGTTGGGGTGGGAGGAAATAAAAGCCCAGACAACTTATTCTTGGTCCTATCTGGAGTGTGAACTAAGTGAAAGAAGAAGGGGGAGGTGTGTATATGGGGGGGTGGACTTTGTTTCTCCCTCTCTTCTGTGGAACTCCCCATGGTTCTTTTTGCAGAAATAGTCACCTAAATTTCCAAACTGCGATGGCAAATAAAAAGTTTCTCTTTTTGACCTCTCCCCTCCCAGCTGACTCATGGAGCTCAGACGGAGAACACACAATGCAGAGAGAAGCAGCTGCAGCCTCGTCCAATTATGGTGCTAAATTACCAAGCCAAAGGCGCTCAAAGGAAGACAGAGAGAGACAGAGAGTGTGAGACACACACACACAGAGACGCAGAGACAGAGAGACAGTGAGAGGAGGGAGCATGCAATTCTGGTAACACGTGAATCCAAACTCACCATGGATGAATAGGTGTGGACTAACATCTGGAAAAAAAAGCCTGGTTACTGCTCAAAATCAAACACTGATTTAAAAAAAAATCAAGGAGTCCAGCAGAGAAGAGAGCTGGACACAGGAGCTGAGCTTGATGTGTTTCCAGGACAAGCCATCAAAAAAAAAAAAAAAAAAAAAAAAATTTCACTCCCCCCCCCACCCCAACAAGATTGGCGATGCCTATCACACACAGACAGAACTATTCATCTGTCTCTTTGCTGTCTTTTTGGCCTCTTTTCTTCTGTCGTTCTTCGGGGCTCCAGATGCAGTCCTCTTCCACCCGAAGCTGGGCTCAGACTGCTCGGGCGCCCCTTCCTCCCTCCGCTTGCCTACACCGCCTCATAATAATTGATATTCATGACTATTAATATTACACGAGTACTTTAAAGGGAGAATGGAGGACAAATGGAGCGTGAAGCAGCAGCGAGCGCAGAGCTCCCCTACTATTGTAAATGACGTTCATTCAGTGGAGAATTACTAGATGTAATCAGACGAGGGGGCTGGCAAAGGCAGACTGGGGAAAAAGTTTAGCAGAAAAGAGGCAGAACTTCAATTAACTGTGCCGGGGACACGAGTAAAGCAGCCCCTGCTCCTTTGGACAAGGCAGTGAGGGAGAACAGTGCCGGGAGGTTGTATAGAATGGAGGTGTCCTCCTACCTGGAGAGAGACTTTCCTAATCGGAGGAATTGATTGCCCTGGGCGCTTTGTGTGCGGATTACAAAAACAAAATAAAAAGGATTGCTTCATCATTTGGAGGCGAGAGAAAAGAAAATTGGTGGGCCTGGTTATTTACAGTGACTTTTGCAGACTTTTGCTAAATGTGGAAGATTTTGCTCATTTGTTAAAGGACAGACGCGAGATGTAGGTTTTTCATTCCTTGTGCTGCCTTTTCCTGTTCAGTGCTCACATAGTTTGCGATTTTTACCTCAATTTAAAACATAAGCCATCAATCTTCAAATACACTAAACTTATCCTTTCCAGGCAAAGCCAGGGGCAACAGAAAACCTTTTTGGATGTTTCAGGAACCCGTTCAACTGGCCTGACTGCCATTTCTGTTAAAGTTCAACCTTAGTCCAGACTTAAATAGGCTCCTTCCACCAAGCTGCGGATTCTGTTTTCTGAGCAGAAAATTTAGGCAGACAGGACTACCTGCAATATTCCCTCTCTCCCTGTTTCTTTCTCTCTCTCTCTCTCTCCTCTCTGTCTCCCTCCCCCCTTTTCTCTTCTCTCTTCCCTCCCTTCCACTCCACCCCTCCCTCTTCCTCTCTCCCTCCCTCCTTTCTTCTCTCCCTCCCTCCTTTGCCATTTAGCTACTTTACTTTCTGTAAAGAACGAGCGTTACCCTGGTTACTTTTTAGAACCCACTGAAATACCTCTACATACATATACCTTGAGCTGTTTTCACCATGGCCCCATGGCTGCTAATGTCATGCCCACTTTGGGTGCCAATATTCTTTAGGGCAGTTCTAGCGCCTTCGACTCTACCATTATCCCGCCTGTTAAGGAAAGAAAAGGAGGCAGAACCGAAACAATCCCCACCAGGCGCGTAGGCGCGGCTCTTGGTTACAGTCGATACACAACCACAAAGAGGAAAGGAAAACCCCAAGCATCATTCAGCAACAAGACGAATCTCTCTACTCTGCGCTCTCGTGCTCTCTCTTGCTTTTCTCCCTCTCATCTCTTCTCCTCTCCTCCTCCTCTCTCCTACACACCTCCATACATACACCCCAACTTTTGGATTCAGGGAGGGCAGGAGGTGTGAGCGCCGGGTGCTGCCTGTGGGCGCTCGTCGGAGCCCGAGTCCCGCAGGAGCTTGCCGGCCGCTCCTGTGAGTCGCCCACTCTTAGGATCTTCGAGGCGGCTCCCCGCTGGGCTTTCAGGAGCTGTCCCGATCCGGAGGAGTCGCGTGTCTTTCTCGGCTCTTTGGAGAGCCTCTGCGTCCCTCTACCTTTCGTCCGACCAAGTGGCCCACGCCCGCCACTTGGGAGTGTGCTTCTCTTCCTCCCTTTTCTCTCCAACTTTTCCTCTTAGCAATCTCCATGGCCCGCTTCGCCCGTCTCGACTTCCCCCCTTTTCTAACTCCGCTTCGCCTTTCCTTTCGCCTTTCTGAAGTTTTTATTTCCTCCCTCGACGTCTCCGCAAAGCCTTCGCTTCCTCCCTTACCCTGGCAACCACATAGGGCTGTCCCAGGCCATTCCGCTCAAGAGCGAGGCTCCGCGGACTTCCCGGTCCCCAGCCCGGCCAGCCGCGCGCCCTGCGCCTAGCCCGCCTGGCCCTCGAGTAGCGGAGCCGCCCGGCCTCCGCTTCAGCCCTCGCGCGAGCCAGAAAAGGGCATTGGCGAGCGCGGCCCCGGCCTTGGAGGCGGCTGGCGTTCTCCCGGCTGGGCGCAACTTCTTCTGTCGCGGAAGAGTTGAGCTAGACTCAGCGCTAGAGACCAGTGCACATTGAACGTGGGCAGAAATTTCTGTGAAAGATGCCCAAACAGGGGGCGACTGCGTTCTCTGTTTGGACGCACTGACCCTCAAGGAAGCAAAACACAAGAAAATAGAAAATAATAAACCGCTACGACTCCTTCGATTTTGCTCTATCCATCCATATCTCCATCCGTCTATCTACCTCTTTCCCGCTAATTCTCTGTCCTCTACTTGGAACCATTTGTTATCAATTTCAGAAATTTTATTGAAAATAAAAATTAAAAGCCCGAGTCTGTTACAAATGAGGCTTGAAACCCCAATTCTCTTCCACACTTAAAACGAGAAAAGTCCCTGCCTTTATCAGAATCTCGATTTTCTCTGACAGCATGCCCACATTCAGTAGCACCACATTCCCCATCAGAGCTCAAAAGGGTGGGGTGGGGTGGGGGGAGGCGAGGAAAAGAGAAAGAAAAATAAAATAAATTTTAAAAATTCCTAAATTAAAGTTGTCAGATTTCAACCTTAAAGTCCCTTTTCAGAACAGCGAAGCCTCCCCTAGCCAGCTTTTCTAAAAGTTAAAGAAAGATGAGAAAACCGACCGGAAACCTACGAGTAAATAGCTTTAAAATACATATCAGTTGGGGTATCAAGAAGCTCAAATTCTCTATCTGCAAAGCTCTAAGATGCATCTGGGGATGTCGACTCACCTCATAGATATCTTCGTACTTGACATTCTCCACGAGCTTCCAGAGCATGATGGCAGCCTGGTCTCTAGGAGGTGAGTGCATTCATGTGAGGAGCAGATGTCTGGCTTCTCAGGACTCCGCTGTCTGTAATGATCCATCTATAATTGGAAATGGGGGATACACACCAAATCCGACGCTCCTCTCCCATCGCAACTTATATCTGTTGTCTCAAACAATAGGCTGGACAAGTAAGCCTCAGCAAAGAGAAAAAACATTATTGCACACACAGGAGTTAGATGCAACCCACAGACATATATATTATAAAAATCATAAACCCGTATTTACACCCAGACACCCACATATAGTTATATAAGCACCTCTGGGTCACACAGTCTGCAGACTCCAAATGTGCATTTAACAGAGAGTTGTTCAGGGTGATTAATATAATATATACATTTTAAAACCTCTATATCGAAAATGACAAATCATTGTAGCCACTAACTGAAGTCTTTGCAATTCATAATGAGAAACTAGGGGCCATCAGTCCCCTATTTTCTATGTAGATTTTAAAGAGGGACCATTACCAAGATTTTAAAACACAAAAGCTCCTTCCTATTCATGTATGTTCCGGAGGAGAGTATTTTGAAAGACTGGATACGGGGGGTTTGAAGGACTATCTCTCTGTGTTGATGGCTACACAACTTTTTTTTTTTTTTTTTTTTTAACTTTATCTCTGTCACCGTAGAACAAAAAAGCTAGCCACCATTGGTGACCATATCTAATATTTTCTGGTCGTTTTCCCTAAAACCTTTGGAAACTTAAATACACCTCAGTTTGACCTGCTTGTTATTTTAGGTGTTGTTTGTGTGCATTTTCAAGGGATTCCATGCACCATTCCTCTTGGCTGGAGTCTCCATTTTATAAAGTTTTTTTCAGATGTTAGAGGCAACATATGCACACATACACAAAAGGTTAATTCTGAGCCTTCTTTGCAGAGGCAAAGGACATTCTATATTTGCATCTGTTGTGTATGACTTGTAAGTGGTTTTAATCATGGAGAGTCAAGAAATGGCCACCCGAATCTTTGAAAAGGTTTAAGCAGAATGTCTTCAAAGAGATAGTGAAAAATATTTTCAGGCATGTGGAGTTTTTTTTTTTTTTGTTTTTTTTTTTTTTGGTATAATTTTTCTTACTAAGGTGATTCATATAGTTTTTTAAAAAAGAAAATATCATCAGCAACAAGAACAATATTAACCAGACTTCGAAAATGGGCACCTTTTAAGGCGCAGGGATTCTGAATTTTGTAATGAAATGAATACTCATCTGTTCCCCCCTTTCCCATCCCCTCTGTTTTTCTACTCCCTTTCAGGGTTCAGAAAGCTCCTCACAGCCGGGAACAGACGCCCAGAAGAGGATCTCTGCCCCTGGGACAGAAGAGAAATGCCAGGAGGGACCGAGGAGGGATGGGGCAATTTGGGGTGGAAGTTATTAAGCGTGGTGAGAGTGAATCTGCAAAGGGTGATTGTCTTTAAATCCAGGACTGCTGTGTGCAGCTCTGCGCGAACAGAGATTGTTTGAGTAGAGGGCTCCGGACAACCGTGTTGAACGTCGATTCCATCAAAACCAAGGAGAAGCTTCACGAAGTGCAGAATAAACAATTCTGCAGATTTTTAATTTAATTTTTAAAGATAAGTCAAAGGAAAAGAACACAAAGAAGGTGCTTCAGAAGGAACTTCAGAAATAAACCCTTTATTTCCGGTTGAATTCTTTTATGTTTTGTCTTTCTGTTTCTCCTCTTCCTCTCTCCTTTTTGTTTTCCTTTTTTCTTTCCTTCATTTTCCTTTTCCTTCCTTCCTTTCTCCATTCCTTTCTTCCCCTTTAAATGTTAACCTTAAATCATATACAATCTATACAGATTTTTCACTAGGAGCATCAGCAAAGATATTCTTCTTTGCTCTCGGAGCTAGTTAGGAGATGGGAAGGGATTCTTCCTGATATTATTGTGTGTTGAGACTAGAAACGGGTTC